TGTTTATATTTTTGTTATTGCAAGTTTTTAATGTCATTATATATTTTAAATACATTATTTTTCAGATATGTTTTAAGATTCTGTAAGATTTTGGAGATATAGTTTTTGACGCGGACTTAACAACTTTTTTTACCTTTTTTAAAATGAAATTTTTTATACATATACAAAACATTTATGAGTTCATTATAAAAAATTCCGAAGAAAACCAAAAAAAGCTTGTTACATAAGATTCACTCTAAAACGATTTTTAATAATTATAAAGTGATAAAGTCAAATTGTATTTGCATTATGATAAGTAATGAACAAACTATCAATACGTTACCTTAAAGAATTGATAATCCTAACTCTTTGATTACTGTGGAATGTGAATGTCCAAAGCTCTTAGGTTATATTTCAGTCAATTAACAATCAAAGAGCTTTATCACAATAAGCGTAGACCTATAATATTTAATTACACGCTATGGTTAATAAGTCCAATATCAGAACACGATAAAATGTTTTATTTCCTTTATTAAATTTAATTAATTTATTATTAAGAAATAGAATTGTAATATTTTCAAGTATTCTACAAAGTCAATGATATTTTACAAAAATAATAAAATTTTAATAACTTAAATTGTATATATTTGTTGCACGTAACGTTTTCACCAACAGATTTAGAATATAATCATGTTAAATCATTATATTCCTTATTAATTTGATTGCATAGAAAATATTTAATTATCACGCACATGATTTTATATAATAAACAATTATCTCATCAATATGAATATGTGCAGATATAATATAATAAATATAAATATGTGAATATATTATTCTGTTTGCAATTTTTAATTATTAAATTATATTATTTCCAAATTATATGCATAATAGATATGCAACAAAACTATTATTATTAACAATATATATTTGCAATCCAGATATTATATGAAACTATTCACACACAAGAAAAATAATATTTTGAAAAGTAATTGCTGGTGTACGATTACATTTTTGTTTAATTGGCAAACAAATATTTAATAAAATTTATTAATTTAAAAAAAGGAAAAAGAAAAATGAATCTTTTCAATATAAAAAAAATATAAATATATAAATAAATATATAATAACAAAATATATACATTCTAAGCATTTAAATAATAATACAATTTTAAAACAAGACCATTTATATAAATATTTATATACAACGTATTCTAATTATGTTATTCAATATTTTTCAATATTTCTCTCTAATAATTTATTTATTAAATAAACTTATTAAATATTTAAATAAATTTTAAATAAAAGAGATTATCTAAAGATATTTGCATTTTTCGCGGACCTAAAAGCAGCGTTTGACAAAATATATAAGATAAAGTTAGGAGAGATGCTGAAAAGGCATGAATAGAAGATTTGAGAAAGAGGATTATGAAACTTACAAAGAACGAAGAATACGGTGAAAGTAGGAGAAAGAAAATCGGAGGAGTTCTGGACAAGCACAGGAGTTAGATAAGGGTGCCCTATGAGCCCTACTTTCTTTAATATATTGTTGCGCCCCCGTGTTACGCCCCTGGATCTACATCTTTGTATCGGGTGATACTTTTCGCGGGATCAACTCTTTACGCCTCCGGGAGATCGTCGTCAAGGGAGTTGTTGTTAAACAACTAAGGGTCTTCTTCTGTTTTCGGGAGACATGACAGATTTGGTCTAGCGGTCGCATCGTGCGGACGTTTTCCGAGACCCTGAGCTTCTTTGCATTACGAATGCACTATTTGTTATATTTCATTGGTTTCGTGTATTGGTTCCTCATATTAAAGTTCATTTTCCTATTATGCGAGTGTCTTTATTTCGCGCGCGAGTGAGAGTGACTGTGTGTGAGTGACTGAGCGAGAGGCGTCCCGAGGACGCAACATTTTGGGGGCTCGTCCGGGATCAAAACCGAAAGAATCGCATCTTCCTGAGAGAACGCCAAAATGACGACTCAACATTCGCCGAAAGCGACGCGTTCCCGAACAACGATGAAGGAGATAGACGAGACGGATGCGTTGCAGACCGCACTGCGAGAACTACGAGAAATGCGGGCCGAACGAGAACATCAGCAAGCTCGCTTTGGGACTCTTCTCCGAGAGAAGGACGAACAGCTGCACCAGCTCGAATTGAGGATCTCCTCGCAGCAAACTAACCAGCTAAGTCCTTCTAATATAAGAGCTTCTGGGGATACACGACTGAATTTAGCTTGCGCGAGTACCGCGAGTGCCGCGATAGCCGCGAGTGCCGTGATAAACGCGGGCGAGACGACCGGTGACTTTCGTGCGAAAACGGGCTTAAAACTGAAGCCCGATACATTCGATGGAAGGGTTCCGCTGCGGGAGTTCCTCTCCCAATTTCTTTTGATAGCCGTCGCGAATAATTGGGATGAGAAAGCAAAAATGATTACTCTCGCTGCAAATTTAAGGGGAAAAGCTCGGTCCGTTTTAGAAAATGTTGAGAATTTTGAAGAATTAACATTCGCGGAATTAAAATCAAAATTAGAGTTGCTTTTTGAAGACGGAAACTTGACGCAAAATTATTACTATCTTTTTACGACACGGAAACAAAAATATGGAGAGGATTTCGCTTCCTTTGGAGCCGAACTTGAGAGACTGTCGCGTCTGGCTTACCCCGAATGTCCATATGCGGTCCGCGATAAAATAGCATGCGCGCAATTTGTCTCGGCATTAATAGACGGGTTTGTCAAAAGAACCCTTCAACTGGAGGGAATTACATCCTTAAATTTGGCTATAGAAAGAGCTAAGGCCATAAAAATAATTCAGGGGGATAGTTTTGATAGAAAAAGAGACAATTTTAGTAATAAAGGAAATTACGGCAAAATAAGTCAAAATTATCAAAAGGAGAGAGGAGCGACGCGCGAACCGATTCCGAAAAAAAGAAAAGCGAACGGTTTGACTTGAAAGGGAAGCGCAAGCGAACAACTTTTCGGCCAAAGAGAAAGAATGTTGGTCTTGCGGGAAGACTGAGCATTTACGTTTTCAATGTCCTGAGGCGAAGAAAAACTAGAGATAGTTGAATTTTTCGGGGAAAATTCAATTCTTACAGAAAACGCCCCGACGTCCAATTTTGTTGATCTCATTGATTGTAGTGTTAGAAGGACCTTTCTCTATTGTAAAGAAATTCAACGATGTGGTGTACTGCATTCAGAAGACACCCAGACATCGGAAGAAAGTAGTGCATGCAGATAGATTAGCTCCATTTTTAGATAGAAATATTGATTGTTAATTAGAAATAGTACAAAACTCAAATAAAGATTGCTAGGAATTGGAGAGTTGTGTTTGTGTGTATATTTGTAAGTGCATTTTTTTTAATTGGTGAATTTATTCTGCGTAAGGAATGTTTTCTTTTCTAGTTGGAAATTTTTAAGAAGAGGCTTGCCTGAGTTTTTGTTACAAGAGAATTCTCTGAGGAAGTTCCTGCGACCATTACTCATCGAGGGCAACTGGCTCCTATCAATTGAGAAGACCGTCTCATCTTCAGAAGATTGGTCATTTGGTTCATCACGTTGAAGACTGTCCCTCTCGTGGTTTTTGATCCGTGGTTTTCCCACGAGACTGAGGGCAAATGCCGGGACAGAGACTTAGGGTGTTCACGAGGAACGTTGGGTCCACGGAAGATATTCCCCCCCTTTGTCTGAAGATTCATGGACCATTTCGTTATCCTTCCGGGAGACGGCGAGTATAGTGAAACCGCGAAGACAGCAGGGATATCTTCTATCAACTCGACTGTTATAGGAAAAATCTGGCCAATTTTTCTTCAAAAAAACAGTTCAAGTACGGAGAGGAGGAGGGCGAAGCTCGGTAACCTGTAGCAGCAGCTAAGGGAGAGCAGGATTCGTCCGGACAGTGTAGACGCGAAAGGAGAGGGACCAGGCGTTTCGTTCGGTAACCTGTAGCAGCAGCTAAGGGAGAGCGGAGTATCGTTGGTGCCCTGATAGCAGCGTCAGAGTCCTAGGTCTTCAATCTCCGTGAGAATTGTCGGGACGACAATCTTGAAGAAGGGGGGCAGTGTTGCGCCCCCGTGTTACGCCCCTGGATCTACATCTTTGTATCGGGTGATACTTTTCGCGGGATCAACTCTTTACGCCTCCGGGAGATCGTCGTCAAGGGAGTTGTTGTTAAACAACTAAGGGTCTTCTTCTGTTTTCGGGAGACATGACAGATTTGGTCTAGCGGTCGCATCGTGCGGACGTTTTCCGAGACCCTGAGCTTCTTTGCATTACGAATGCACTATTTGTTATATTTCATTGGTTTCGTGTATTGGTTCCTCATATTAAAGTTCATTTCCCTATTATGCGAGTGTCTTTATTTCGCGCGCGAGTGAGAGTGACTGTGTGTGAGTGACTGAGCGAGAGGCGTCCCGAGGACGCAACAATATTTATTATGGATCTGGAGGCAGAAATGAGGAAGGAACAGACTGGAGGGATAGTAGTGGGCAAAGAAAAGTTTTGGACGATTACGTACGCGGATGATATTGTTCTGGTGGCACAAAGTGAGCAGGAATTGAAAAAAATGATAAAACGATTTAAAAAATATAGAAAAGAAGGACTTGATCTTGAGCCCAGAAAAATCGAAGGTGTGATATTTGAGAGAGGAAGGGGACGAGTAAGGAAAAGAGATTGGAGATGGGGAGATAAAAGATAGGAAGAAGTAAAAGGAATGAGGATTTAGGATACATTATGAAAAAGTAAGGAAATGAGAGGATACATTATGCAAAAGAACGGAGAGCAGAAACATATAATGGATGGAAGAAAAAGAAGAACAACAATAGCAGAAAAATAAAGATGGAGCGCATTGGTAAAAAATATAGCATCATACGGAGCGGATCACAAGAAGAAGAACAGGATGTTTAAGCATTGGATAAAGAGAAAATATACGGACGGAAATATGGGGTTGGAACAAGGAAGAAAGAATGGATGGGATAAAGAGAAAATATGTAAAGTGGACTAGATAGAAGGACACCGAATTAATCATGAAGGAAGAAACAAAGATGAGGGAATTAAGGATGGAAGCTATAATGAGAGCCATTAAGTATGAAGAAACAGCAAGGAATGCGAAAAAGAAGCTTGTAGTAGAATGCATAAAAAAACTAGAAAAAGAGGTAAGACGTAGGGAGGAAAGCAAATGGGAAAAAAGGAGAAAAAAAGTGTTGGAGGAGACCGAAATAAGAAAGGAAGAATTGAAGGAAAAGAGAAAAAAGGAAGAAACGAAGAAGATAGTACAGAAAATGATGGAAGAAATAGCAAGAAAAGAAGAGCAAATAAGAAGAAAGGGGATAGATGAATCTAAGTATAATGAAATATATAAAAATATAATGACAGAAGAAACACCAACATATTTGAGAGGAAAAAGAAACAAGAAAGAAAGGAATATGATAGCGAGATACAGATGCGGGAACGAAACGAAAGAGAGCCAGCACTGGTTGGAGAAGGCAGAAAGGAGATGCAGAATATGCAGAGAAGGAATAGAAAATATGTTACATATTTTGAAAGAATGCGAAGAGACAAAGGACGGAATAACATTAGAAGAATTTTTGAAAAAAGATGGAAAAGGAAGGGATGTAATAAAGAGGATAAACAGAATAAGAGAAGAAAAGAGACTGGAGGAGAAGGGAAAGGAAACGGAAGGAAAAGCTAAAGCCAAAGAATAAGAAGTTTATAGCTAATTCCAGAGTTTAATTAACTTTAGAGTTTTAGAGATTATTCCAGAGTTTATTCCAGATTTGATTTGATTTGATTGAATATTATATTACATTAGTAGAGATTAGATTTTGAAATTTTGTTTTTTTTTGAGTTTGTGATTTTTGATTTTTGATTTAGAATAGTTTTGTGAACGAATTATTTATTTATTATCTATGTAATTAATAGTTTAATAGTTTAAAAGTTTATTGAAGTGGTGTATGTATCAAATGTATGAATAATGTATGTACCGGAAGCCATCCTAAGCCGATTAGGCAAGGATAAGCACAATAAATAATAAATAATATATAATAAACAATTAATAAATAATTAATATCTAAAGCATATTGAAAAATTCACAGACTAAGAAACATCTCAGTTGATCTCTTCTTATATCGATAATATATTCACAAGGACAGAATCAGAACAAAAATTTATTATAAAGGTCTACGCACGTATCACGAATACTCACAACATTGAGTGATTACCTCTGTTGCAACGTAACTGACATCAATAAACGCCATCGCCATCGGTATTAATATCCTCGCGAGCCTGCTCTGATTGGGCCAAATACCGATTTGCGACATGAAAGTTTTGTTAACACGGTAGTAACGTTGTATGACCGAATACATGGTGAATCCATTCGTCGCGATGGTCTGTTGGTATATGAGGAACAGATGCTTCGTGCAGGATATATCGCTGAAATAAAAATTCCTGGTAAAAATGATGCGATAGATATTGTATTTATCAATAATATTATGTTGTCAGTTACACTCAAAGTACTTATTTCTTTAACATAGTCATCCGAACAGCGGTTGCGCTATCGATCTGACGCGCGAAACGATGGACGTTTTTCAATATGACATCTTAATTGAAGACCTAGACTAAGACAAAAGCCAAGTTCCGTATATATATATATATATATATATATATATATATTAAAGAAATAGGAAATAAAAAAAGTCAGAGATATATCATATCAATTGCCCCCGCACTTTACAAATTGCGACTGCTGTGATAATCTTCTTACTTCGTATTTATATATATTGTAATATAAATTTTATAATCAACAAATAAAAGGCAATAAGAGCTAGATAAGTTCTATAATAGAAATATATTTGTGAAAAGATTTATAACATAAATTATTAAATATTATACAGAAGTAAATTCGATTTGTCGTACGTTTCGGTTGTCTTTTTCAACCTTCTTCAGCAAATATATTAAAAATTAAAATATTAGTATAAATTAGAAATAAATTATTCATCAATGTCATTATAATAAAAATATACGGAGTCAATTTATATTCTAACACCCGAGATCAACGCATTTATAAATGTACGTGCCCGTTCACACAAATTGTCCGTAAAAATGTCTTAATGATAAGTGGACTGTATTTAATTTATTTTGCTATTTGATTTACAATATTGGAAACCCTTTTAGTTCCTTTTGTCAAAACTAATCGAGTTACATATATAATGTGGTTCGAACGAATTACTAACACTGATAAACGGAACAGAGTAGAGAGAGCGTTACCACGTCGGTCCTTCGTTTTTATTCCTCTCTCCCTGCTAAGGGTTTCTCCCACTCATTACAACAGACGCGCGCCAACGCTCCCGCTTTACATTGATTTTCAAAATATCGATGATCGATCGTTCTAATACTGTACATCCCGTCCACCAATTAATGTCAATTAATTTTTATATTATACAATATGTTATTGTGAGTCAGTCGACGGAAGTTTACAAAGTTTATTTATCGCTCTTTTACAATTTCTGCTTGCCGTTTTAAGCGTAACAACGCGTACTTTTCCGTCGGTGCCTGCGTGAGTCTCAATTACTCGGCCTACCTTCTATTTTAACGGCGGCGTGTGATTATCTTGTATCAAAACGATGTCATCGATAGTTAAATTTGTTTTTTCGGATTTCCACTTAGCCTTTTCTTGCAAGGACGTAAGGTATTCCCTATACCAACGATGCCAAAACTCCTGCGCGATTCTTTGAGTTAATTGCCAACGATCGAGTCTGTTAATCGGTACGTCGGTTACATCCAATTCTGGAGTGCTCGTTAGTGTTTCGCCAACAATGAAATGACCTGGTGTCAATGGTAGCAAGTCTGTGGGAGTAGATGGTAATTGGCAGATTGGCCGTGAATTTAAACATGCTTCAATCTGTATTAGAACCGTAGTTAATTCTTCAAAGATTAACAGATTTTGACCGATAACTCGTTTTAAGTGAAACTTGCAAGATTTTACGCCTGCCGCCCATGTGAGGCACCGACGGTGGAATAAATTTCCACTCGATATTGTTCGGAGTACAAAATTCGTCGATTATATCCTTATTATTTTCTTTGATCATTTGTTGTATATCGTGAAGCTCATTTCGTGCTCCTACGAAATTAGTCGCATTATCGCAAAATATACGCTGTAGACAACCTCTACGCCCTACGAAACGTTTAAGCGCAGCTATAAATGCGCTTGCGCTGAGATCGCTGACCGCTTCGAAATGTATTGCTTTTGTTGCAAAACAAACAAATAACGATATATACGATTTGTTTGTTTTCCTACCGCGGCCTCGGTTAACTAACGTCACAATGGGCTCCGCGAAGTCTATACCCGTTACAAAAAATGGACGCTTTAATACAACTCTGTCTGTCGGCAGCTGTTCCATTATCTGAGACATTGTTCTCGGATTATTTTGGAAGCAGTTTACGCATTCGTGTACAGTTTTTCGTGCTATACTTTTTCCGTTAATAGGCCAGTATTTTTCTCGAATTGCGTACAACAATGCTTGTGGACCCGCGTGTAACAATCTACGGTGCTCTCGCTTGAATAATAGTTTTGTAAATCTGTTGCTGGACGGCAGTAATATTGGATGCCTTGTGTCAAATGATGCTAATGAATTTTTAATTCTGCCGCCCACCCTGACGAGTCCTTCTTCGTCTATAAATGGACTAAGCGGTAATAATTTACTGTTCGACGCAATTTGCCTTCCTGCCTTTAATTCTGACCATCTGTTTGCAAAATGAAATTTCTGAGTTTCTATAATTATTAGTCGTCTTATATTGTGAATCTCTTTGATTGAAATATTGTCGCGTTTACGTTTGGCTTGCTCTGTTTTGCAGTTTGATAGAAATCGAAAAATCCATGCAAAAATGCGCTCGAATTTGGTTAGTGTAGAATGGTTGTCTAAATAAGATAATATCGTTTGTTTATTAATATTTAAAAATACTTGCGACTCTAACCTTTGCTCAGATTCAATAATCTCTAATTCCGGTTGCGACAAACTTAATGTTCTTGTTTCATTTTGCGTGCAATAATCAATCTCTGACAGCCACTCAGGGCCCTCCCACCAAAGTCTACAGGCCTGCTGTTATAGCCCAAAAGGCTATAATTACAAGTTAACGGATATAAAATCCGCGTGGAGACCGCTGATGCAGCAGCGGGCCGGAAACCGCGAAGATGCAAGCTAAGAGCTTCATCTTTCGAACAGCTCTTAGCTCAAAATCTAGCCGCGTATGCAAAAGCTATGCACCAATCGGGTGCCTGTCGCCAGGCACCCCTTCCAAATGAAATAACGAAAAACCGAGTTCACATAAGAACTCGGGAGTGAACAGAGAGCGAGTTGAATTAGACCAACCTACCGAGACACATCGAGGAATAACTCCCGACTCGTAACCAGACGAGTCGTTAATTAGCTAAAGTCAGAATAAATCTAGAGTCGCGTCAAACGAACGAAAAAGAGAAACGAAGTTACCAGAGGTTTTTTTAAATAACCATACGCCGAGTCTTGTTAAGATTATATATACCAATATACATATATATATATATATATATATATATATATATATATATATTGAATAAAGAAGTAATTCTACATTAAACAAGACTAAAATCTACGGAGAAACCCCGACGATTCAGAAGTCCACTTCCTAATCCGGCAACATCCCTTCTGTGTCTCACACGAGGCACAACACTGCAAATTCTTGAGACTCGTGCCTCGCAAAATCAAATCCGCAGGATTGTCTTTGCTCTTAACGTGACGCCAATGTTTTGACGGAAGGTTCGTCTGTATTTTTGCCGTTCGATTTGATACAAATGTTTTTTGACGTAACGGATCGCCGGATATCCACGCCAACACAATCGCGGAATCGCTCCACGCCGTTATTTCGTCAAACTCGATTTTTAGCGCTTCGACAACATTTCTTACTAATCTAATTAAAGTCAGTGCGCCGCATAATTTTAGCCTCGGTAACGTAATTATTTTACTCTTAGTTGGAGCAACGCGCGATTTTTAACAAAGCAATGCTGAATGACTATTATCATTCTGATCTATTGTCCGCAAATAAATGCATGCTCCATACGCTCTCAAGGATGCATCACAAAATGCATGTAGTTCTATTCGATTGACGTTCCTACTCGAAATGACTCTGCGTGGAATTTGAATTTCAGTTATATTCTGCAAATCTTCTGCGTATGCGCTCCACGCTTGTTGAAGCTCCGCTGTTAATACTTCGTCCCAGTCTAAATTGGCTATCCATGTCCCCTGCATAATTAATTTAGCTCGAATTAAGATCGGACTTATTAACCCCAATAGATCAAATAGCCGTGAGATGGCTGATAAAACTTCTCGTTTTGTCTTACTTAAACTTGTTATTAATTGATTTGAGAATTTGAGTAGATCTTGCTCCGGCAGCCAATTAAACCTAACGTTTTTACATTGTTTGTATCGCCTTCATCGATGGCGACAGCCGAAGGTTCTTGGATTCGCTCAACCAAACCCAAGATCCCCCTGCAATTCGAACGCCACTTGTGCAGCTCGAAGCCACCACTCTTTAATAACGCCTTTAATTGAGATATTAATTCCACCGCATTGCTCTCACAACTAACTCCAGTTAAAATGTCGTCGACGTACAAATCGTTTAATAAAGCCTTTGATGCTAGATTAAATTTTTATCTGCATTGCTCGCTAATTGT